GGAAGAACAAGGTTTTAAGATGGATTGGTTTTCTTATTTGCAAATACGTTCTAGATATGAAGAAGATTCTAAGCAAGAAGGTTTCTATAATGTCTTGACTAATTTAGATAAAATTTTAATGCGTTCTGATGACTATGTAATTAAAAAATTGTATGGTTATTTATTAGAGGTAAATTTGGAAGAAGAACAAGTTAAAGAAACAATGATAGCATGGGGGAAAAATTTTGGTCACGGGATTGAGTTAGAGAAATGGCAAAAATAGTGGTTGCAAAATTATAAAATGACAATGTCTACAGCTTATAAAGAGAATTTGTATAAGATGTTTTACAGGTGGCATCTACCCCTGACGAGAATAGCCAGAATGTTCAAGAACAAATCGGAGAAATGTTGGAAATGTCATCAGACTCCAGGATCATACTACCATATGTGGTGGACATGTGTAGAAGCTAAAAGATATTGGACTAAAATCCACACTTGTTTGGAAAAAATGACAAAGAAACACATTAAACCTGAGATATTTTTATTAGGGATTTTACCAGAAACGTATAACAGAGAATTGAGAAATTTAATTGTGAATGTTTTAACAGCGGCTAGAATTGTATTTGCTAAAAATTGGAAAAAAGAGAAAATACCTACTGAAGATGAAGTTATTAAGAAAATTATGGAATGTGCTGAAATGAGTAAACTGACATTTGAAATTAGAGAACAGGAAGACAAACAATATTATATAATACGGGATTTATTTTATCAATGGCTAAATAATAAAACATGGAAATGAAGTATGAAATATGAAATAAATGTAATGATAAAATATATGAAGCGATTTTTATGGGAGACAAGCCATTGTTAAAAATTGTTGAATGAGAATAATAGCATAAAGGGATATAAAAAAATTGTCAAATAAGAGAAATTAAAATAACTTGAAAATTTTGGATATGGGATTAAGCACAAAAGAATTGTAACCGATCGACACACTTTCTGTGATTGTAATGGATGATGGTTGTTTTATGTTTTGTTATGTTCAAAAATAATTTTTTTTCAAACAAACAAACAAATAAATAAATAAATTATATGTTTTGGTTTTCGACAACCATAGTATCTGGTGTGTTATATTCCAAATGATAATCTGTCTGTATTCAAAAGTCCCACAAGATCTTAACTTTCTCATTTTTGACAACTTTTTCTACTTTATGTTCCCATGGCTTTTTGGATACAGGTAAGTCATATTTTTTATATAATGACCAGTGGATTAATTTAGCAACTCGATCATGTCTAGCTTTGTAATCAGTTTGTGCGATTTTGCTGCACTCACATATTAAATGTGAAACAGTTTCAATTTTATCATTGCAAAGTCGGCAGTTTGGATTGTCAGTGGATTTTTATATCTTTGCTTTCATGGCATTAGTTTGTAGTGCTTGTTCTTGAGCAGTAAGTATTAAACCTTCCGTTTCTTTCTTGATGGTTCCCATCTTAAGCCATGCTCATATCAAGTTGTTATCACATTTTCCTTCAATGTTTTTCAAGTGCTGTCCATGTAAAGCTTTGGTTTTCCATCAATTTAATCTGTCATTCAGCTATTTTTCCTTATATTCTATGTTTGTTTTTGTCATTTTTATACTGTTCTCCATTTTCACAGCCTGTAGCAATTTTTCTGTACTTTGATTCACATAGTCATTCAAAGACATTTTTCTTCTACAGTTTGATGGATTTGTAGTAGCCCTCTGCCCCCTATTCTTGGCAGGTAAAACTTGTCGATGTCACTTCGTGGATGTAAAGTGGGGTAAAGTTTGAAAAGTTTGCATGTTTTCCGGTCCAAGTTTTCCAGTTCAGACAAAGTCCAGTTAATGATTCCAGCTGGGTGTCAGGCCTGGAAGCCATCTTTTACATTGGGCCTTTAAGTCTGCCACATTTACTGCTGTGGGAAACTGGGAGGGGGGATTGTATGGAGCAGAGGGTGATATATAGTCTTAACAACATTCCTTTCTCAGAGAGTCAAGGACATCTTGCCCTGCACCTGGAGGGGTGTGACTGGGAGGCATCTCCAGTTGGGACGGTACTTTGATTGGACCATGTGATGGACATGTGGGTGCTGGGCAGGGATTTGGACTTTCTTTTGGGTGGGGAAAACCTGGAAGCTTTCAGATTCGGATTTTCCCAGATGTATCAATATGATATCTCTAATAAAATGGAACTTTGAGGAACTTCAAGCCTCGGAGTCTTCTTTCATTGGGGATGTTACTTGGAACCCTGAGCCTTGCCTTATGCCCCCTGTGCAGCACCTGCTTTGCCAACTGAGTCCCGACCTCCACACTTCCCTGGGCCGCTTCCGGAATCAGGCTCCGACCGAGGCAGCAAAGGTGCAGGGGGCTTCCCAGGAAACCCAGCACCCAGCGGGGAGGAGCCCAGGCAAGGGTTCGGGGTCGGAGCAGAATGAGCAGCCAAAGCCCATCTCCGCCGGCATACCTGCCTCTCCCCCCATTCTCGGAAGAAGAACTGCTTCCCAGCTCTGGGCACACGAGACAAGCGCCAGGTGGCTGTTTTGAAAGGGGCGGGAGCGGTTTATGCAAGCCGCAGGATACAGCCTGAGCCTCCTCGATCGGGGCACCTTCCTGGGAATTGCTGCCCGGCCTGGCCCGGGTGTTTGGAAAAACAGTACACTGCTGGAAAGTATTGATTGAGTATTGATTCAGTGGGGCTTTTCACATACATTTTTAAGTCATCCATGTATAGTAGATGATTTATCTTGCCATGTTGGCTTGAGATTTGGTATCCCAGTTTTGTGTTATTTATTTATTTATTTTTATTATTTTTATTATTTTTATTTTTATTATTATTATTATTATTATTATTATTATTATTATTATTATTATTAACATGTAACAGTGATACCCATTGTCATCAGGGCACTTAGTACCATGTCCAAGAATTTTACAAAATACATCAAAAAATTGCAGCTTCCTGCAATAACACCAGTGGACCTGCAAAAAACTGCGTTACTCGGGACATTGCACATTTTAAGAAGATACTTGGTTGATACCTAGGATGCTGGCAGCAACCCGTATCAACCATCAGCGCCAGTCAATGCTATTTCTGATACATTTTAAATGTTCAATTGACTGAGTTCCACGTTTAATGAATAAAAGAAATCATCATCATCATCATCATCATCATCATCATTATTCACAGCTGCCAGTTTTTTTAGCTAACATTGACTTTCATACACATTGAGTTCTTCCCAAGAACTTACAATGTTGTAATGTATTGGTATAGTATATGTGGAGATATAATGAGTATGGCCTTTTGTAACTGATAGATGGAAATTTTGTCAATCTGCAGCCTGTTTTCACTCTCAGGAGGCTTCAGGGAGGCCTTCTAGGTTGAAAACAGACCATGGGGGCGGCACGCCCTCCACAGCCTGTTTTTGCTCCTAGGAGGCTGCACGGAGGCCTAGTAGGCCCAAAATGGGGTGCAGGGGGTGCCGCATCCCCCTTCACGGCCTGTTTTTGCTTCCAGGGGGATGCAGGAGGTAGAGTGCTGCCTGTCACGCCCACCATGGCCATGCCCATGCCCATGCAGCCGATCATTAAGGCAGAGAACCGATTGTTAAATTATTTGAATTCCACCACTGAATTGATCATAGTATCCTTCTGGACTGAATGTAGGATCATGAATGGAGGACATGACATGCAGTGGTTCACCACTTTCTCCATGGTTATTTTCAGGCAGAATTGATGAGTAGGTGATAAGGCCAGTGATCTTTCCTTTCCAATTTCATATCCACAGGAAAAACTGCTGGACAAGGCTTGGTTTGGTTGATGTTTGGTTATTAAATATACCAACCAAGGGACTTCGTGAAAATGATCTTAAAATACTCTCAAAATTCCAAATATAATCACTGACCTAGTAAAGTTGTAGATGCTTGCTCTAAAAACTAGGATAATTCCTGAAAACAATGAAAATAGACAACAGGAACAACTGAAGCTAGGGGACAAGTTTTGCCTTCATCCTCAGATTTCCCATTAGCTGGTATCTGAAGAAGCAACCTAAAACAGGCTTTTGTTATTGTATTCATGATTTAAGTGACAATGGTCTTTCTCTATACTGGAAATTTATGAAGCAATTGAATGAGATTCAGGTATGAAAATTATTCTTATTTGAATCTATGTCCACAAGTGAAAATTGCTATGACACTCTGCCATTAAATTAGACTGAAAATTATCTTGGCAATATATCTGAATTTAGGTTGCTCGAATTGTGTATTAAAATATTTATATTTTTTGCAAGAGACTGGATGTTTTCTTAATACATGCATAGTTTTCCAGGAGTCATAGTAAATAGTAGAACATAAAAGCCATGTGCCTCATTCGTAATTGCTTGATAACTCAAACTTAACATTTCACATTTTAAATTAATATTAGCTTCCCAGTACCATTCCATTTCTGAAACCAGCAAGATGTTCTTTTTCTTAAATTTAAAAATAATTTAGAAGTCTAACTCTCTTGTGGTAGATTAAGATGCATTGGAATTGGAAACAACTAGCAATGCATACTAATAAATTAGTTGCTCCAGACATATATTCTGTATATTAAAAGAAAAAGAAAAAAAGAAAAAAGGAAAAGTTCTATTTATATATAATTAATAATGGAAATGTATGTAGGTTTACAACTTGTATTAACAATTTATTAATCAGCTATGGTAATTTTCTGTTAGTTCTGACTCAAGCAGGAATTATTTTCAATAATTTAACCAAAGCAGATTCTTCCAGGATATATCATAAGACAATAAAAGCAATGCTTTTTATTTTGTAAGAAGCAAACATTTATTTAGTTTGCATGCATTATAAAGTAGAATAATCTGGATCCCATCCTGCTCCGATTGTCAACGTATTTTAAAAATACTAATATAGTGGTTATAAAATTTGCCAAGCACGTGATTTATATTAACTGTGTTCTGCTACCCAAATTTAATATGGTTTGGATTTTCTCTTTACCTTTTTGCAGGAATCTTCCCAGGAGAGTGTCATTACACGAGATATTCATCGTACATTTCCAGCACACGAATATTTTAAAGATACTGGAGGAGATGGACAGGATTCTCTATATAAGATTTGTAAGGTATTACTGTTCAAATGTCTTGGAGTTTTGTTAAGAAGTTACACAGGTTTGTTGCATACGTTTTCCTAATTTATGTGACAAACAGTTTTACAATAGTATGACATCAGATTAGATTGGGTTTCCCACCTAACATTAACTGAAAACAACCAGATGTTAGGATTTTGCAGTTTAGATTAGATGGAGAGGCCCTGGTAGAGAATGCAAGGAAATAATAAGGTTTGGCTTGCACCAGGATCTATATACTACTAAAACTCTCATTTCTATAACTTTCAACTGAGCAAAATAGTGCATCATAGGGTAATAATTTTTGACCCAAGGTACCTCAAATGGGCTAATTTACAGAATGTGTCCAAAATTTAGGACATATAATTCCCAAAGGAATGAAATTTGTGGAAGTTATGGCTGTTTCAGTATTGCCAGGCTGATAATGCTTCAGTGCTGCTGAGCTGCGGCTGCTGTCATGTGATCATTTTCAATGTCTTATGATAGTTTCCCAGCCTCTTTCTCAGTCACTTTCTCCCTTCCCCACCTGGCAGCAGTCACTTACTTGCCAGGAAGGGCAAGGTGAAGGAAGAAAGGGAGGGAGAAATAAGAAGGAAGGAAGGAAAAGGAAGGAAAACACAATTCCTTACACTACCCCTCTGTGCACCTTCCCCAACCCATGTGGCATCTTTCTGAACCCCTGTGCGCCCTTCCGATTTGCATAGCACCTATCATACCCCCAGACTAGTGGTGGGTTCCTACCGGTTCGGTCCGGTTCGGCCGAGCCGGTAGCAGTGATGATATGACGTCACCGAACCGGTTCTCCCCCCCCCCGCCCTCCCACCCCCCACGTTATTCTTACCTTTTATTTGGTCCCACCCCCAATCTATTGCTGCCTCCTGAGTCCCAGCTGATGGCTAGAGGGAAAAAAAACTGTTTAAACTCTTGCCACGGGGCTTCAAAGGGCCGTCCTACAGCTGATCAGTGTTAAAAGCAAACAAATGAGTCGGGTCGTAAGTGCGAGGACTGGTCGTAAGTGCGAGGACCTTCCAGAAATGACTCTGACCAGCTAGCCATGCCCACCTAGTCACATGACCTCCAAGCCACACCCACAAAATAAGCCACGCCCACAGAACCGGTAGTAAAAAAATTTAGAACCCACCCCTGCCCCAGACACTCTTTTTGCCTCACCCCTCTGTGTATCGTCCCTGACCTGAGCACCCACTCTGATCCATGTAGCACCTCTTGTATATCCATGTGATACCAACATCCTTCTCAACCCACCTCATCCCTCCTGCTGCTGATCCCATCCCATGTACCCTTGTGTATCCTTCCTGACCCCCACTACCCACCTCCCCACTACCTGACCCTTCCAAACCCACACAGCATACTCTTCCCAACCTGTACCCTTGCACATTTCTTCACTCCCTCTTCCACCTTGCAACAGCTACTTTATCTGCTGGCTGGCCTTGGACTTACAATTTCCTACCCGCTTCTCCGCTTAACTTTCTTCCTGAAAGTTTCCCACAAGGAAAGTAAATGGGGCGTCAGCAGGAATTCGAGAGAGGACAGAAAGGAGGTAGTTAATGAGATTTCTGATGTTCCCTGCCAGGTTCCCACAAGGATATTCAATGGGGAAACCAGGAGGAAGTCAGAAGTTGCTCTCACTTTCACTGCTTTTTTGCCCACTTGTGGCAATTCTGATTCTCTGTTTAAGTAAGGAAATACCTCTGAAATAATCACCCAACAGAGGACACATTGTCTAATACCCACTAAATCAATAGGTATTCTGGCCTAGCAATTTTCATCTCTTTTAGTTTTTGGATCCCTTACATCCTTAAAAACCACTAAAGATCCCAAAGAGCTTTATTAAAATGTAGGTTATATCTATTGATACTGTATTTAACCATAACAGAAATGAAAATTGATACAATTTTAAAATATTTATTCATTTAACAATAATAAATCCATTACATGTTAACCTAAATAACATTTTAATGAAAAATAACTAGTTTCCAAAACAAATACGCATTTAATAAGAACAGTAGCACTGTTTTACATTTTTACAAGTTTCTTTAATACCTGGTTTAATAGAATAGAATAAGAGTTGGAAGGGACCTTGGAGGTCTTCTACCCCTGCTTAGGCAGGAAACCCTACACCACTTCAAACAAATGGTCTAATCTGTTCTTAAAAACTTCCAGTGTTGGAGCATTTACAACTTCTGGAGGCAAGTTGTTCCACTTATTAATTGTTCCAACTATCAGGAAATTTCTAGTTCTAAGTTGCTTCTCTGCTTGATTAGTTTCTATCCATTGCTTCTTGTCCTACCCTTAAGTGCTTTTGAGAATAGCTTGACTCCCTTTTCTTTGTGGCAACCCCTGAGATATCAGAACATTGCTATCATGTCACCCCTAGTTCTTCTTTTCATAAGGCTAGACATATCCAGTTCCAGCAACCGTTCTTTATATGTTTTATCCTCGAGTCCCCTAATCATCTTTATTGTTCTTCTCTGCACTCTTTCTAGAGACTCAATATCTTTTTTACGTCGTGGCAACCAAAATTGGATGCAGTATTCCAAATGTGGCCTTAGCAAGGCATTAAAAAGTGGTATTAACATTCATGTGATCTTGATTCTATCCCTCTGTTTATGCAGCCTAGAAATGTGTTGGCTTTTTTGGCAGCTGCTGTACACTGCTGGCTTGCATATTTAAATGATTGTCCACTAGGACTGCAAGATCCCTCTCACAATTACTACTACTGAGCAAGGTACCACATATACTGTACCTGTGCATTTTGTTTATCTTGCCTAAATGTAGAACCTTGCTTTTTCACCATTGAATTTCTTTCTTTCTTTTTTTTAATAGACTTTATTGAGATTTTTTACAGAACAAAAAGGAAAAAAATGAGAAAAACAAACAAACAAACAAAACAATCATTCAAACAATAACATAGAACACATAAATATAATAAACATTTTCAATTTGTATCGAATATGCAGTGTTTTAACTATTTACATAAATAATACTTGTTGATATTTTGACTCACTTTTAACCAATATTTAACACACCTTTGATCTTTCTTCCATTTTATCATGCAACCACTTGTACCACCTTTCCCACACCATATAGTATACTGACTTTTCATCATTTAATTCATAAGTTAATTTAGTCATCTCTGCGCACTCGAGTATTTTCTTAATTGTAAGCTCTTCTGGTGGTTGAATTTTCTCTTTCCAAAACTGTGCATATGCCAATCTAGCGGCTGTAATTATATGGATCATTAAATGTGTCATTTCCTTTCTATATGGCTTCTTTATTATTCCCAGGAGGAAAATCTCTGGTGTTAGTTCAATATCTTCCCCAATTATTTCGTGTAACCATCTCCTGATCTTACTCCAATATCCTTTTGCTTCCGGGCATGTCCACCACATGTGAAAGAAGGTGCCTTGGCCATGGCCGCATTTCCAACAATTGGGATGTATATTGGGATATATCTTCGCTAGTTTGGCCGGGGCTAGGTACCACCTATGAAGCATTTTGTAATGATTTTCCTTATATGCCACCGCTCTAGTCAATTTAAGATTTCTATTCCATGCCTCCTCCCATTCCCCGAAATTTATATTGCACCCTATATTTTTCTCCCATGCAATTATTTGATTCTTTGTAACATCTTCAAACTTCTCATCGCTTAGCAGATAATTGTATAATTTTGCCAGAATCTTTTTATTTGTTCCCATCAGAACTTTGTCCAATCCATTTGGTCCCGGTTCTATACCATATTTTTCTTTGTCCCTCTGATATCTGGATTTTACCTGTGAGTAGGTCCACCAATCTAAGGTTATTCCTTGCTCTCGTAAGGTATCATTTGGTTTAAGTCTCCCTCCTTTGTCTAGAATATCTTTATATCTGGCCATTTTCTCCCTCTCCCACCTATTTGGGTGAGTCAGGGCCTCCATCGTTGAGAGCCAATTTGGGATTTTCTTGTAGTGTTTTTGTCTGATCTGGGTCCATGTTTGTATCAAGGAATCTCTAATTTTATGTCTATGGAAATATGTCTTCTTTTTCCTCTCCATTTCCCAGATGTGGGCGTGCCAGCCTTTTTTGCAAGTCATGGCCTTCTAGAGTAAGAATTCTCGCATTTTCCAGGGTGATCCAATCTCTTATCCAAACTAGCTTGGCTGACCTATAGTATGTTTCCCAATCCGGGAGTCCAAATCCACCTATATCTCTTTTGCCTCTTAAAATTTTAATGGAAAATCTCGGTTTTTTCCCCTCCCATATAAATTCTCTAATGATTTTGTCTAATTCTAGAAAGAATTTTTTATCTAAATTTATTGGTATATTTTGGAATAGAAATAATATTCTGGGGAGGATGTTCATCTTAATTGTGGCTATCTTGCCCAAAAGTGATAATCTTATTTTTTTCCAGTTATCTAGGTCTTGTTTTATTTTTCTAATTAGGGGAATATAGTTATCGTCTTTCAGAGTCGAACATCTTGATGTAATCCAAATTCCTAAGTATTTAATTTTTTTGGCAACCTGTAGTCCTAATACTTCTTCTATCTCGTTTTGCTGACTCTCAGTTATGTTCTTAATCAATACTTTAGTTTTAGTTTTGTTCAATATGAAGCCTGCCACCTCTCCATATTTACTTAATTCCTCCAATACTTTAGGTCCCGACTCTATAGGGTCTTCAAGGATTAGGGCAACGTCATCTGCAAATGCTTGTGTCTTATAAGTCTCCTTTCTGATCTTCAATCCTTTTATTTCATCGTTAGCTCTAATTTTCCGTAGAAGGACTTCTAGGGCCAGAATGAACAATAGAGGGGATAGGGGACAGCCTTGCCTTACTCCCTTACTAATTTGGAATGTTTTAGTCCTATCCCCATTCACCAGAATACTCGCCTTTTGGTTGTTATAGATGGATTTGATCATCATTTCAAAATTTGTTCCGAATTTCATAATCTCAATTTGTTTAATCATAAATTTCCAATTTAGGTTGTCAAATGCCTTTTGAG